GCCTCAAACGTTTGGTGTATTTCTGTCTTTTTTTTTTTTGGCTAGTAGACGTTATAAATGGCCGGTAACTTAAAAATTTAGTAGCCAAATTGGCTGGTGAGTGAAAAAGTTCATTTCAATCCCTGATTGTAACTGATTTTAATAATTACAAAATGTTCTCATTGTTAAGTCATTGTAAATTTTTTGATACATTTCTGCACTATTTTACATTAAGTAGAAAGTTTTCTAACATATTATTGATTTTAATAACTACTAACTATAATCAGTTATCAACCATGTTTTTCTATTTTAATTATCAGTATAGGCTAAATCTGCTAGTGGTCGACCTCTACGTATCTATTAAATGTATGGATCTTTTTAGACTATTCTTCCTATAGTGTCATAATTTAATCATTATCATACGTATCATGCATAAGCGCAGGCTGAAGTGCTGCGGTAGTCATGTGTGAGGCATCTATGCGGCAGAGTCCCATCATGCCATTGTGTTTCCAGCAGTCTCTTTGTCCCTCTGTTCTCTTGTGTTTGGGAACATCTCGTGATTTCACACCATCGCCCCCTTGTGGCTCTGACAGGATTGCTGCATTTGGAAGGAAGGCTTATAATTAAATACCTTTTAATCACTTTGCTGATGCGTTTATCTGACGTAACATCCAGTAATCTTGTTACAGAGATAGTCCTCCTGGAGTAATCCGGGTTACGTGGCTTTCTTAAGGCCAATAGTTCATGAGGGATTTCAACCTACAGTGTACCTTGCTTAGATCTTTATTCTCTATGCCAACCTCTATGCCATTAGCATTCTCTCTATATATAGATATGTTATATATATGTGACCCTAGAGCACAAAAGCAGTCATAAGTAGCACAGGTATATTTGTAGCAATGGCCAACAATATATGTATGGGTCAAAATTATCGATTTTTCTTTTATGCCAAAAATCATTAAAAAAATGACACTTATGACTGGTTTTGTGGTCCAGGGTCACATATAGATATGTTCTTCCTATGGTGTCTTCCTATAGTGAAGAATATATTATATTATAGTATATTATATTATTTTATTTTATATATACATATTTTATGTGTATGTTTACTTTTTTTATAGAAAAATCTTTATTGCTATTAGAGAATAATATATCAATCACAAATAAAAGAACATTTAGTACATTACTGTCTTTTATACCACACCACATCCTATATTAGGTAACTAGCTAGCTAGTTTGGTCATTTTAGCTTCACTAACCTGGGAAAATTTCCATGCTCAATTCAGCACCTTCTTGCTTCAGGATTATGGGTAGTGTAGCCAATTTAACTCAATATTGAAATCAGTGGTTTCTATGGTAGATCTGTCCTTTTGTTGACTAGTAGTTTTACTTCTGGAGCCCTACTTTTGGGGTTTATGTTAATGCAGGTTTACTGATGGACTGTGAGGGGAGGAGAGGAGAGTCTGGGCGATTTTTGGAGATAAAGATATGGCCACACAATAGTGACGCATGTGTGTAACTCTTCTTGTGTTGTTGTGTTTGTTTGGGACAGTGCTGCTGGTGAAGCAGGCCTGGCCCCAGACGGCATCTGCTCCGGGGCCCGCAGAAGGCTCCTATGACCTGGCCATGGACGCTGGCTCAGAGAGCAGGCAGTACCAGGCCTCATCTACAGCATTCAGTAAATATCATTACTATACTCTACTGTAACTGCTGTGTGTTCCCTGTGACTCTATAACACACAAACACACACACCCTTTCCCCACACTACATCTGAAGAACACTTGCCCTCATTGTTCTGTTTCCCCTGAGCGTGTGTGCACACACACACACACACACTTTTGGCCCTGCAGGATTAGATCACATAAAGACTTTCATGCATGCTGTGTAAACACACTTTACAACAAGTTCTGTTCCAAAACCCTGCTGCCTACTGCTTACATAGGCAACTATAAGGCAGCATCCTAAGTCAAAATGAAACTTTTTTGAATCACTTTTTATTTATTTATTTACCCATACGAATTTCGTAAATACAAGAAAAAAATTGCTTTGTTTATTATTATTTTAAATAATAATATTAATAATAATAGTGATTTTTAATATTCAAATGTAATTTATTGCACAATACAATTATTGCAGTAGTAATCTATTTATTTTTGATGATTGATTTGTTAAATATTAAAAAATCATATAATCAAAATATTATTTTGAATAATTATTATGCCTATTAATTAACATTCTTATTTTATATTTATTTTGATTTTGACTTAGAATTATAACCGCAACTGACATGAAGTGCTCTGGAGACTCAATTTATAATTGTTTGCAATACAATTTGACATTAGTATATAAAATAAATATGCTTTGTAGATAGATTTATAGAATTTTAATAAGATTTAAAGTGTTTTTATATAAACATATTTATAATTGCCATTTTTTTCCGCTTTGTATGCCAGTTTGAATGATTTTTCACAATGCATTCTGGGATTGTCCTCACCGCAAAAGATAATGCTATAGTAATTTGGTCAAAAATTCAAATCATTGATATACTAATACAGTTTTTATTAATATATGTTTATTTAGTTTCCATTTTAATTTTAACGTTTTCGTTAAATTTTCGTAATTTTGTGGTGTTGTTTTGTCATTTCTATTAGTTTTTTATGTTTTTTATTCATTTTATTTTAGTTTCGGTAATTTAATACATCAACTAAATGAACATGAACTAACCGAAATGTAATAAGCTGAAGTATTTTATATTTTTTAAATAAATTTGATGTCAGGTAACGTTTCAAGTAACGAAAATGTTTTTTATGGATTTCGTTATCTCTGAAAAGCAACATATTTTCTTTTGTGTCAGATTGGGCTTATGATGTCTTTAAAGCGCTGTCTAGTTAAGCAGCTCACTAGGGTTTGTGACAGGTAATATCTCACATTGCATAATGTAGACATACAGTCTGAGATCTAAGGTTTCATTCTCACTGTAGACAGTCAGCAGGGCTTTTGGACTTGGATTGCAGCGTTAAATGAGTGTTGCGGGACTGAATTAGACAGATTGAATGGCTCAGCTAGACTAAAGAGAGTTGAATCCGGTGTGTTGCATCAGTGGTTGGTTAAATGTGTAGAAATTACTGACAGCTTGTCTTCGGTATGTAGGGAATCTGTTGGTGTGTTGCGTAACTAATAAAGCCTCAAGCAATGTATTCTTCTCATTTGTGCAGCTGATGTCGCATTCATGTGCATTTTTTACTACTTTGTTGTCAACAATCCTCCAATAAAAGCCAGATGGTGTGTGTAGAAAAAGAGAAAGTCTGTCAGTGTGTGTTTGCTTGTTCAGTATGTGATATTTCTGACTTGAAATGTGGCACACTTGTAGAATTACAGCGCACTCCCACCTTAGAACTCTAGTGTGCTTTACTGTTGCTCACCAGAAGGGGGCGACATGGAGGTTTTGGAAATCCAACCAGTATGGAAGCCCGTTTCCGCCACTGAATAAAAAAAAAAATATCTGACTTTTTTTCTCATAATTGCGTGATAAAAACTCGCAATTCTGACGTTATTTATCAGAATTGTGATACAAACTTGCAGTTCTGACTTTATTTCTCAGAATTGCGACTTTATATCACGCAATTCTGACTTTTTCTCATAATTGCATGATAAAAACTCGCAATTCTGACTTTATTTATCAGAATTGTGATACAAACTTGCAATTCTGACTTTTTTCTCAGAATTGCGTGATATAAACTCGCAGTTGCAAGTTAAAAAGTCATAATTGCGAGTTTATATCTCACAATTATGACTTTTTAACTTGCAACTGCGAGTTTATATCACGCAATTCTGAGAAAAAAGTCAGAATTGCAAGTTTGTATCACAATTCTGATAAATAAAGTCAGAATTGCGAGTTTTTATCATGCAATTATGAGAAAAAGTCAGAATTGCGTGATATAAAGTCGCAATTCTGAGAAATAAAGTCAGAACTGCAAGTTTGTATCACAATTCTGATAAATAACGTCAGAATTGCGAGTTTTTATCACGCAATTATGAGAAAAAAAGTCAGATATTTTTTTTTTTATTCAGTGGCGGAAACGGGCTTCCATACTGGTTGGATTTCCAAAACCTCCATGTCGCCCCCTTCTGGTGAGCAACAGTAAAGCACACTAGAGTTCTAAGGTGGGAGTGCGCTGTAATTCTACAAGTGTGCCACATTTCAAGTCAGAAATATCACATACTGAACAAGCAAACACACACTGACAGACTTTCTCTTTTTCTACACACACCATCTGGCTTTTATTGGAGGATTGTTGACAACAAAGTAGTAAAAAATGCACATGAATGCGACATCAGCTGCACAAATGAGAAGAATACATTGCTTGAGGCGTTATTAGTTACGCAACACACCAACAGATTCCCTACATACCGAAGACAAGCTGTCAGTAATTTCTACACGTTTAACCAACCACTGATGCAACACACCGGATTCAACTCTCTTTAGTCTAGCTGAGCCATTCAATCTGTCTAATTCAGTCCCGCAACACTCATTTAACGCTGCAATCCAAGTCCAAAAGCCCTGCTGACTGTCTACAGTGAGAATGAAACCTTAGATCTCAGACTGTATGTCTACATTATGCAATGTGAGATATTACCTGTCACAAACCCTAGTGAGCTGCTTAACTAGACAGCGCTTTAAAGACATCATAAGCCCAATCTGACACAAAAGAAAATATGTTGCTTTTCAGAGATAACGAAATCCATAAAAAACATTTTCGTTACTTGAAACGTTACCTGACATCAAATTTATTTAAAAAATATAAAATACTTCAGCTTATTACATTTCATTGTGAGATATAAACTCGCAATTGCGAGTCGCAATTCTGAGAAATAAAGTCAGAACTGCGAGATATAGACTCACAATTCAGACTTTTTTTCTCAGATTTGTGAGTTTATATCTCGCAATTCTGACTTTTTTTCTCGCAATTGGCGAGTTTATATCTAACAATTTTGAGAAAAAAGTCAGAATTGCGAGAAAAAAAGTCAGAATTGCGAGTTTTTATCTTGCAATTCTGACTTTATAACTCGCAATTATGAGTTTATATCTCACAATTCTGACTTTATATCTTGCAATTCTGACTTTATAATCACCTGATTGTAAATGTTTTGAGTGATTTGTGTATGTTTCTGTGTATGTAAACGAATGTATTTTGTTTTATGTGTAACTAAATGTGCTGCCTATCCTGGACAGGACCCTCTTGTAAATGAGATTTTAAATCTCAAGAGTTTTTAATTTCCTGGTTAGATAAAGGTAAAAGTAAATAAATAAATAAATAACTCGCAATTGTGACTTTATATCTCACAATTCTGACTTTATAACTTGCAATTCTGACTTTATATCTTGTAATTCTGACTTTATAACTCGCAGTTGCGAGTTTATATCTCACAATTCTGTGAAAAAAGTCAGAATTGTGAGATAAAAAGTCACAATAACCTTTTTTAATTTTTTTATTCAGTGGCGGAAATGGGCTTCCATAAACCAGAGACATGGACAAGTGTAAAAAAATTTTTTTAGACATATGTTCATTCGATTGTTGTTTAGCACATGCCTGCTTGACTTGACACTCTCTCTCTGTCTCGTTCTGTGTTTCAGGATATACTGCAGGAACGCCTTATAAAGTGCCCCCTACTCAGACCAATGGAGCCCCTCCACCCTATTCCCCGTCTCCTAACCCCTACCAGACGGCCATGTACCCCATTAGAAGTGCCTATCCCCAGCAGAACCTCTATGCTCAGGTAAGTGACCCGGAACAAACTGGAATTACACCGCAGTCCATGATTAGCTTAATGTTTTGTTGTGTTTTGACTAGGAGAGAAATCAAAGTTGACTCTTCTAATCTTATTCTGCATTATTCATCAGGAAAAAGTGTTGTTTTGACATGTTCTTTCAGCATCTATTAACTTGCTTGACCTGAAATGACGTCATCGAGGTCAAACCATAGCTATGCAAGCATTGTAAAATCTTGCTAATTGTCAATGCATTTGTGCAATAAAGATGACAGCAGTAATATCAAACAATGATCCAAATAACACTGAAATCAATACCCAGTTAATAAAATAATAAATTTTTTCATTATAGAATATTGTTTTACCCAAATAATTCACATCAAAGAAGTAAAATGGACTGTTTTAGTATCAAAAAGTATCGTATTGTTATTTTAAATACTTTTGAGTGTAATACATATGCTAGTCATTTAGTACAGTGTTATTTTACTATTATTCATAGTATGCATTAATATATTGAATTAGTTCTATTTTCGTATTTTCAAGTTTAATTTTTAATTTGTATTTTTTTCTGCTTTTGTATTTTTTTATATTTCTGTAGTAGTTTTTATTTTTGTTTTAAATATGTATATTTATTTTTTATTTATTTTCGTTTTAGTGCTACAACTCAAAAAGTTTATTTGATAGTTGAGGTTTTTCATCTAATATTTATATTTTATTTCAGCTTTATTTGAATTACCAAAAATGTTTTGTAATAGTTTGCTATGGTACTGCATCAACACTGATACAGTCATCTGATAAATGCTAAAGTAATGTGGTTTAGGATCTAAAACCATCACTAGAGTCATTTTGGTTGCTTGATGTTTTGTAATCATCACCTTAGACCCTTTATTTGCCACACAACCAGGACTATTTGGGATTTGTTCCCATGACACCCAGCATCACAACACAGTGAATCATGCCTTACAGGTTTTGAACCTTCACCCTTTCAGCTCCCCGTCACTGGTCTTTTGTAATTTGAGTTGGTCTTGTTCTCAGGGTGCTTATTACACGCAGCCAGTGTACGCCGCCCAGCCTCATGTAATCCACCACACCACCGTGGTCCAGCCCAATAGCATCCCCTCCGCCATCTACCCCGCTCCTGTACCTGCACCCCGCTCCAACAGCATGGCCATGGGCATGGTGGCCGGAACAACGATGGCCATGTCTGCCGGTGAGATGCTCAAAAATTTGAATATTGTTGAAGCTAAGAAATTATATAAAAAAATTCTAAATTAACGTATACTTCGATGTGTATTAGAAATGCAACTACAAATATACGCAGACTCTTCTACTTCAGCAATAGGTATATTAGGTATATGTGTGTGTGTGTGTGTGTGTGTGTGGGTCAAAGACATTAAGATGTCCGCATCAAAAGAAATTTACAAAAGTGTTTACAAAAATTATATGTCCATAGAAAGCACATTAAATGTAAGTAAAGTGTCTACTTTTTAGGTTTCAAATAAGTTTTTGGAGAATAAAATGTTAAAATTTGGTTGAAATTGTTACGTTGTCATTCAGTGTAACACAATATTTATGTAAAAATTCAAACAACATGCTTATTCTGACGTGTACATATTAAAATATATAAAAGAATAAGGGAGCATATTAAATTTTATTGTGTTTTAAATGAGTAAAAATTCTTACTGACAAATGGGCAAAACCTAGAATAGTGGCAAATTTTAAAAATGTAAAATTTACAGCTAATTAGTATTTGGGGTGAAAGTAATTAGTCTTTTAATATGTCATAAATTGATTTTTGTTGTAAATTTAACCTTCCTTGGCAAGGCAGAGGATAACAAATTTACTAGCACTTTACGCTAAACTTCCCTGCTTAAACAGAGGGTAACAAATATTAACACGTAATGTTAATCTTCCCTGTCTTAACAGAGGATAACCAATTCTTCCCTGCCGAAACAGAGGATAACCTTCATCTCTAAAATAAAAAAAAAAAATTTTTTTTTTTTTTTTTTTTTTTTTTTAAAGCAGCATTACACTTATTGTTTTTATGCTTAAACCCTTTTTCGTCTTTGACCCATGTATATATAAAAACTTTTAAAATAAAACTTTTTATAATTCAAATATATAATAAAATAGTTATATAATCAATGTTTTTAATAATTTTTTAGTTTATTAACTAGATTTATTTTTTCTACTACTGCCATCTCTTTAAAACTCTTTTAGTTCAGCATTAAGGTGTATTTTTTTTATTAAATACAAATATATGTCTATATTTGAGTATATATTATTTTTATCATATATTTCTAAATCATTTTTGGGAATTTTATAATAAAAAACAGTAAATTAATATAACATTTATATAATAAATGTTTTTAATGTATTAATTAGATGTATTAAAATAAATAAATCACAATAAAACACTATATATATAATTGTGTGTGCGCAAATACATATATTTGATTACATTTTTGGTTAAATATAAAAACATATTTAAAATGTAAAAAATTAGTCCTTAAAATTTTTCATCAGAATTTATTATATATTAAACAATTATAAAATTGTATTTCTAATAAAATGTATATGTTATATAAAAAAATATTTTATATAATGTATAAAAGCTATTAAAAATATATATATATATTAATATAATACAAGTTTTGAATTTATGAATTAGATTTATTCAAAATGACATCTACTGGCATCTATAGACTCTCTTAGTTCAGCAGTAAGGAAGCACAGGATTGTTCTTATATTGGTTCCAGGACTAATAGTGGACATTTTGATTTAAAAATCTCTCCCAACAGGAACGCTGCTGACCACCCCTCAGCACACTCAGATCGGAGCACACCCCGTCACCGTGCCAACGTACCGACCCCAAGGAACACCTGGGTACAGCTACGTGCCACCTCACTGGTAGAGCCCACCTGCCAATCATGTGAGATCCCGCCCACATGACTCATTCCACCCAGTGCAGAGCAATCGCTGACTTCTTCTCGTTTTCTCTCTCTCTCCTTCACAGATCTGGAGTCAAACATTGTATGCAACTACTCAAATCTTACATCGGCGCTCTGTGCTCAACAGTGAGGCGCCACGTCTGTTTGCAAGAACAAAAAGAGAAAAAAAGTGCAAGGGCCACTTTATGCATTCTTACGTGTTTTTGTAAAAGCTGCTTTTTATCTTTTTATTTCATTTTGATTTTTTTTTTTTCTTCTCTTTTTTTTGGGGGGTGATGTTCTTGCATTAGGTTATTTTAATTCTTCATTGTTCCATAGTTATTCTATAAGAACTCCAGAATGATTTCGACCAATCACGACCCGTCTTTGTGTTCAGTATAAACGCTGGTGTGTAGGAATATCAGCACCACTCGGATTATAATCATCCACTTACGCTGCCAAATTGTATAACCTTTAGATATTAGCACAGGGTTGGTTTTCTTTTATTTATTTACAGCAGAGTTTCATTTCAATCTTCCCAAAGCGCTTGGGAATCGTTCAAAGAAATTTCATTTCTCCCTCATTTCGTTCTGTCATCGATAACAAGGGTGTCTTCCAGCTTGTAGCTGTTCATGTAGATTTGTAAGGAATATATCAATAGTAGGGCAGTGCAAACGTGGTTTAACCTTCATTAGGATATCGAGTACATACAGTAATCTTAGTTATTCACTAAATAGAGAACGTTTGAGTGAGCCGGTTACTTTATTAGCTTATGTGTCAGGATAGCGTAAGCTTCGAACTATAACGTGTATATGCGATTTATAAAAATGTGCGCGCAGGGGTGCTCTCGCGGCATGCGCTCACGGTGAATATTGAGGGAAAAAAATCTAGCAGTGGCACTTAGCTGGAGCCTCTGGGTGCGATGTCGTCCCGCGGGCATCGAAACGTGTGCCAACTTTGAGGCCAGACAGAACAGATGCTACTCTGACGGAACGATTAGGATCGCATCCGATTCAAAGGGACTTTGCGGCATCGTAGATAGCACTAAAAGCAACAAAAAAAACACACACGGGAGGGATGGCGTTCCAGCATTCATTTCCAATCAGCTCCGGCTCTAGAGTGGGTCTGACCCCTGGTCCTCTGTGAATAGTTGCACAGATTTTAGGCGTAGAAACGGAGTTGTTCAATGCAATAATACGAACGGCCTGCTTGAATGGCGTTTAATTGTAATTTACAGCATTTGTAGAGAGATAAAGAGAGAATTTTGATTTCCTGTCCCGAGGCCTCGCCTGTATCCATGAATAGTGTACTCAGAAGTGACATATCAAGTATTCTATGAAATGTTGTTATCATACCCAAGCATTGCACATTGACAAATAGACGTAACTTAATAACCAATTATACGGTACACTCTCATATTTAATGATGTAATTAAGAAAATCAAGCATTTACTCTGCAAACCATTAGTCTTGGTCATGTCTCTGGAAGTAATATTATTGTCAGTACAGAACAGTATCACTCTTTTCGTTGTTTTGTTGGCTAAGCGACCACCATTGCGATATATAGTACACTCAAAAGTGGGAAGAAGCGATTCTCTGATCTTATGTGAAAGTCATAACGTCTAGTAATGCATGTGTCATGCGGGTGAATGCAGTATAGTGTAATCAGATGGAAACTATGCCCTTGCGAAGCATGGTTGCATCATGTTGAATTGCATACACACATGCATGTATATATTTAAGAAAAATTTTATTTCTATTTTAAATATTTATATATAACATAAATAATATGAATATAAATATATACATGTCAATATTTTCGAAATATATACTGTATGTGTGTGTATTTATATACATAATAAATTTACACAGTACCCACACATATTATGTAAACAAAAACGTTTATTTTGGATGTGATTAAAATTAAGTGAAGCCTGTTTTTTGTTTTGTTTTTTTGCTTTATTTTCTGAATAATTAAGCAAATTTTTCCACAAATTCTCATTACTGTAAAACATCCTGTAGTTTTTTTTATGGTTATTTGTATTACTCTAAATAGTGATTCTTTTTAGATTCTTTTTTTACGATATTTTTCATTTACATCAACAAAGGCAGTACAACAAATATTACCATGATTCATGGATAATTTGTCTAAATTTCAAGAGGAAATTGTCATAAAAATAATAATAAAATATAATATAATAAAAATATTTTGGATGTGATTAATCGCGATTAATCGTTTGACAGCACTAATATATAAATATATAGACATGTTCTTGACAGGTTCCATGAGATTCATCTGAAAATTACTGTAACTTCATTGCAGTATAATAATTTTCTTATTTTAAGGGCAAATCTGTTTGGCAAAAGCGAGTCAAAAGCTTTGGTATATGTAATATTTGTCTAACGATGGAATTTTATTCACATGATGTCATCAATAAGTAATGCAAATCAGTCAAACCAGCTCATTTATTGATTATTAAATGAAAATCTCGTAATTCACAGCATGTTCACATACTCTGTCTCTGTTTTGATGACATATGATGCCATTTTCCTGCGCTCTCCGCCCTACACTTTCCTTTTCTGATCTTTATACAGTCTTATACTTATACATATCAAGCAGTGAACTATATTTTCTGTGTCTTTGCATAAGTTTGCATCACGAGACTTGTCTGATGCATTTAATCACTGTAGTCGACATATGACACTCTGAACTGAAAGTGACCTTTTACACTGCAAAATGATTCAAGGACGTTACCATCCACTCTGACATGTAATTTAGGCGCTTTACATAAGTGTTATTTAAAGTTTTAATTAATGCTTGATGTTCATTTTTCTTAAATAGGAGATCTTTATGGTTGATCTGGAGTGGAGTGATACAGTCCATGTGGTTGAGAGGCATTTCAGAGCACAAGTCTTCAAAGGGTTTCCTCTTCCTCTACATGCATTTCCCCTGTCTGTCTGTCTTTCTGTCTGTCTGTCTTTCTCTTCTTCTTTTCAAGGAGGACAGGGTTCAGCGATTCTGCAGCTACGGTTAAAATAATTGCTGAGCTTTTTGTGAAAATGATATGTTGAAGTTACAGGCATGTAGGACGTTTTAATGCAGGGTCATCATGAATTTAAAGGGACAGATCATCCAAAAATGAAACATTGTGAGGAAAAAAAAGTTAAAATGATAACAGAACTGTAATTTTTGGATGAATTATTCCTTTAAACCTGAACAGTTGTATCAATACTCCGATATTTTCCTGCTCGCCACACATTATTCCAGCGGCGAGGGTTTTTGATGTGTTTCTCCCATTTTAAAATAAACTGATCCATTTTCCGTGTGAAATCAGGTGGTCTTTTCTGGGTGTTTTTTCGCCCGGTCGTGGTGTGGAAGAGGCTTCGGTTTCCTGTTTTTTTTCTGTTTGGATCGTTTTGATGTTGCTATTGCAAACCCATGCACTGTTCTCTTCTTTGGTTTCAGGGCATCGATCAAAGGATTGTTTACTAGCACCCGTGATGCATGCAACGGGTTATTAGCTCTAGTGAAGTCAGTGTCACGTCACCAGTATGTAAAGGTATTTCTAAAGTAATTGTGGCACTGCTTTCACGCTCTTGCTGAAAACCTGTGATATGTACCATAGGCTTTGACGCAAACAAACGAGGGCTTGCTATTTCACGCTACTGTTTAGGAAAACAGCTATTTGTGTTTGACCCGTATGAAAATTAAGACTTTGTTGTTTGCATTCTAAATGTAAAGCAAAAAGGGGAAAGTCTTCCAGAATTTTTCTCCCTTCAGTGAGTGTTCAAGAGCCCTTGCCCCATAGTATGTATGACGCACTACTGCGTAGTTCTGGCAGCATGGAGGTCTCGTTCCTGCGAGGTTCTGGCAGGTCCGAGCGTGTTTTCGCCAGTGCGGTCCAGACCGTGCTGTTTGACCGTTTGAGCAAGGAGACCCACATCAGGCTTGTGAAATGAAGTGTAAAACTGTTTTTATTATTTGGGTTTTTTTTTATTGTTTTGTTTTGTTTTTGAAGATCAGTTAGTGATCTCTGTGACATAATTAAGCCAAGTTTGTAATTGTATAATATTTACTGTAAGATGTAGAACATTCAATAACTATTAAAATCTTTCCAAAAAAAAAGTTTGTTTTTTTTCCCTCCCACACGCATCAAGGATTGAAGGGTTCTTTTTTTTGTGTCTTGTCAATTAAATTTAATGTCAAATGGTTGAATTATTATTAAAAGAAAGATTTACCCATAAATAACCGTTAAACCCTAAATAATAGGAAGAGGCTTCAGTTTACTGCAAGGTATGTATAAGGGTCTAAAAAAACTGTATGACATATAGAATAGCATGGCAATATTACATATTATAGTAATAAAACTTGTAATATTTTAATACTTCTGATATATTTGTGTGCGTGTATGTGTATATATATATGTATGTATATATGTATGTATATATATATGTATGCGGAAATAGAAACCTTTTGTAATATAAATGTCTTTACTGACACTTTTGATCAATTGAATGCATTCTTCCTCAATAAAAGTATTAATTTCTTTAAAAAAAAAAACATCTTACTGACCCCAAACTTTTGAATGGGAGCATTTAATCTGAATATAAAGATATATATAAAATATAATTCTATTCTTTATAATGAAAGCTTTCTATTTCAGATAAATGCTGTTCTTTTGAACTTTCTATTCATCAAAGAATCCTGAAAATAAATCAATAA